TAGGCCTGGGCAGCTTAAACACACCCTCGCTGTATGGCCTGGACAGCTGGCAGGGTTGTACTTACAGGCTGGAACTCACAGCTTCCTGTACAGGAACGTGCAAAATGAGCTTGAGGAGGCTGTGCGTGGCTGGCCTGACATTCCTGGCAGCATTACTGTACTGATTGGTCCAAAATGGCTCCAAAACGAGCTCTCCATCCACAAGGATGTGCCGTCCGGGTCACTTCCAGGGGTGCCCTGTGTGCTGCTTTGATGAGAAACTCTGTCTACAATACCCTCAAGTAACCACCATAGTCAAAACACAAACCCAGGTATGAGAGGGAAACAGGCACAAGGACAGACCTGTTGAGACAAACTACAGTGAACAGGTACTGTGAGGCTGTCAGGGTAGAGACATGGAAGAGGCATCACAGTCCTGAGAGCGATTTGGAGGTGGTAATGGAACAGCATATCAACCTGTCACAGCAACAGGCTCACAGGGAACCGGGAGAAGTGGCTCTAAGAAAGCCCTGAGCTCCACAGGCAGCATCCTCCGTGCCCACGGTGGGGTTCTTCCCATTGCTCTGCCCCGTGTGTGTCAGAGGGACAACTGGAAAATCGGAAACGGTTCGGAAAAATTCAAAGGGACAGACCTGCAGAAACACAAAGTTGTGCAAGTGCAAAGGTTTAAGGAGTTCATTGGTGTAGTTCACCAACAAGAAGCATGTGCCAAGACAGAGCTGTAGGGAAGAATGTCCCTTCCCGAGGGAAATACTGAATCACGCAAGGGTCTCTCATCCAGTGGAAGAAGCAGTAGGAAATGCTGGTGCTGGTTTCCAGAGGGAGCAGGTCGGGTCAGGAATAAGATCAGGATGACAGTGAGGTATGGAGTGTGCCTTCTGCTGCCCTCAAAGCCTCCTAGAAGACAGCCCCTTTATGTGGACATAGCTGAGCGAAAGCACAGCGCTCCCGCTCAGAGCTGGATGAGACTCTCTGATGGCCCTCTCTGGCTATTCTCCCTCTGCCTCCTATTCCTCAGGCACTTCCCATCTCTGGATTTGAATCCCTTCTTCCCGGCAGAAGCAGTGACAGCCAGGGCTCGTGCCTGGGGTGGGAAAACACAGCCCTGCAGGAGTTCCTTGCTCAGAAAAACTACTTCAGCACCTCCGCGGTGCCTGGGCCGGGCTGTGGCAGCAGCCAAGGACAGAGCCGGTGTCAGTGCTGTGGAGCGAAGGCGTTTCTTGGGCCACCATCGAAGCCCATGGGCCTGGGACATGGCTACAAACAGCCCTGGCAGGGGAACCTCAGTGCTTTAATTAGGTCCTCATCCCCACACCAGCTGCTTGGGTGTGGGGGGGTGTTGGTAGCTCTGGTCCCTCCTAAGGTTTAGCTCAATCCTAGGCTACCTCCTCAGTCTGGAGATGGGAAAGTGGATTCTGGTCACTCCCCTGCACAAGTGCTTATTGTTCCCAAGGAACCCTGGACCAGTGAAGGCCGTGTGGGGCTATTCCCATTCCAGGAGAGCTGCGAGCCCAGTGCCCACTGCTGACAGCCCAGGAGGAGAGGGAGTCATGCAGCTTGCAGCAGGCCAGGGCAGGCACGAAGGCGCGCGGCTGTGCAGGCTGCAGGCACCAAGGGGGTCGGGAGAGGAAGGGTCCTTGTCAGCGTAAGGAAGCAGCGAACAATAAGGGGAGGAGCAGGCTGAAGGAATTCCTATTCCCCAAGAGTTTCCTTTCAGCATAAGGTGGGTGTGTCTTCCTCCACCCTCAGCCACATCCTAAAATAAACAGCGCAGCTCCTTGGGACCATCCACATCCCCGACGCTGCGCCGGCGGCTGTGGCCAGAACCCTGCAAGGGTCAGCAGGGGAAGCAGAACCTGAACCAGGATGAAACTCTGGTGCTTTTGGCCAACAGCCGTGCTTTCTGTTCAGTAACTGTGCTGGTTTTAAACAAACGCTAGTGCTCCTCCCGCCCCCGGGCAGCATCAGCACTGGAGTGGCTCAGAACAGACTGTAGAAGGCCTGGGCAGGGGCACAGGTGGGTAAGAGCAGGACATGGCAGGGCCGATCACAGCCATGGATGGGGTCTGGGACCTTTGTCCTCCTCCCGCAGTGTTTCGGAAGGTGGCAGGAGGAAGACTCCTCTTGCTGTAGACAGTTACCACCACAGGGAAGGGGCATAACCAGGGGAAAGCGCTTGGGGCTGTGTTCAGTGCATGTCTTACCTAAGGGACGTGAGTTCATTATGTGGTGGTATTTTCAGGGGGTTTATAAGGCAAACCTTGGGAGCTCCTGGCATTCCCCACAGCCCAGTCTTCCTCGCATTGCATGGTGTGTCAGCAAGGACACTCCAGCTGGCGAGAACAGAGACTACGCTCAAGCCTTGTCACATCCCGGGAATGGAGTAGGGATAGTTGTGTCCCACCCTTGGACAGACACTCCTAGGAAAACCAGACACTGCAGGAAGTGGTGCAGTACCTCCCCAGTGATGTTTCCTCCTTGGAGTTAGTCCTGAAAGTGCCTCATTGTGGTGGGAAGGGCTCCATGGCTGATCTGTGGGGGGAGAGGTGGAAGGACTCAGTTAAGCTAGTTGAGGATGCTCGGCTGTCGCAGTAAGTGATTTCAGCATCCAAAAGGTAGATGTGGCTGGGGAGCCAGACTCACCAGGTACTCTGCCCGCTTCTATGCCATCCCTGTTGGGAAGTGACAGCAGTTTTCAGCACTTGGCTTGCTGCTGGCTGCCACGGAAGCTACGGGACTGCAGCCACAGCGAAGTGCTTGGCACATGACGCTTCTGGGGTGATCTGGAGGGAAAGATCAGCTACCGACCCTGTGATCTCAGTAATTCGATGGGTGCCCTGCAGCCCAGAGCAGCTGTGGGTGCTGGGAAACACAAGAACAGCCTGCAGTGCTGCAAAGCGGGACACATGCGGTTCTTACCCTCCTTCTTCACAAGCTGTGTGAAGGTTCCCTGACCTGGAGCTGGGTCAGCCCAAAGCCCCAATTCAGAATAAGCCCTTGTCAGTTCATGCAGTAAGTGCCTGACTGCAACAGGCGCTTTGCTCCTGGGATGAGCTGAGATCCCTGGCTCAGTTTTTACCTTACACGAAATCGTACTGCTGTCCTGAAATTTTACAAAGACAGTTCTGTGCCTACATCAGTGTGCCAGCATCCTTTGGAGTCCTGCAAGGACTTTCAGCCAGGCTAGGAAGGTCAGAACAAACAGCCTCTGGCACCTCACCGGTCTAACCGAAACTGCCAGTGTTAGCTCAACACAAACTGCTCCTGTGGGCCCGAGATAAACGTGAGAGAGGTTCCATGACACCAAACAGCAGAGCAGTCCCAGGGTCAGTTCACAGCAGCATGTACCCAGCAGCACCTTGTTGTCAGTGTGGTGCACAGCTGGACTGCAACCACCCACAATTCCAGACATCAAGGTCCGCGTTCCAAACCATTCTGCACAGAACAGCACTGTAACTACACTGCCTGAAACGCAAACTGTGCCTGGGGACAGGATTTGGCACAGGGACTGTGTCCCGGATGGTGTCTCTGGACATGCCAGTCCCTGCCTTCCCATGTGCAGGGCATGAAGGCTTTGCACAAAGAAATTGTTCCCATCTCTCTTACGGTGCAACAGTTTGTTCTGAGCTCTTCCTTGCACTGGAGAGCTCCCCTTTTCCCACTACCATGTCTCAGTTACAATGGTAAAAAATAGAGATTTCTGGTTAAGCATGGAATTCCCTATGGATGGCCAGGAAACACAGTAAGAGCAAGCACCTTGCCATCACCTGTAACCATGTGGTGTGCTGGCTTCCTCACCCCGCACGTGCTGTCTCGTTGGAAGCCTCCCGAGGCAGGATCCCCACTGCTGCCTGTTTGGGCAGCCATTCAGCATTAAGTACACTGTTACTGTCAGGACAAGATGGCTGGGAGTGGCTGTGGCACACGCACTGCACTGTGAGCGCAGTGGCCAGGTATAACTCAGTCCCAGTAGCTTCAACCTAGTGTCCTGGAAGTCCCTGCCCGCGTGTCAGCACTTCCCCTAGAAGCAGTTTGGAGACCCGGGCCGGCTGCCTTACACATGAGAACTCATTTTGTCAAAGTGCCTTTTGATGTTCAGAGAAGACTGCACCTACAAGGGGGGGCTGTCATTTACAGGAGGATGGAGGATCTTTACACTGAGGAAAGGAGCGAAGCAGCTGAGCGCTGAAAGCTGCACCCAGGCTCACAGCAGCAACTCTCTCCACATCTGGAGTGGGAGCAGCTCATGCGGTGTGTTACAACTCTGCTGCAGAAGCAGGGTAAAGTATTCGCCCAGCTTTGGGCCAGCCACCTTGCCCCCAGCTTATGCTGTTTGACAAGCAACACGTGGCTCCATGTGTTGTTATCATGGCAGCGGGAGACGGGAAGGCTCTGTGTCTGGGCACTGGGTGCTCCCTTCGCTTCGTCTGGCTGAGTCAGACTGTGATCCCTCGGTAGAGCTAATGCCATTCGGGGCTGGAATTCTGCAAACTATACACTGACCAGAAAAGCATCACCACAAGGCCATTGTGCTGTGTTCTAAGAACAGTTGCTGGGGCTGAGAGGCGTTTCCCTCACTGCAGTGAAGCACTTGGGCATCAGAGTGTTCGCACTTCACCGCGGGGCAGATGTCCGGCCAGAATCCAAAGGTGTGTGCTGTCATTAGCACTGCCGAGGGCAGGAGGTGTTACCCATCCCTGGGTGTCTGTGTGGGATGCTCCGGGCTCTGCAGCGGTACGTCCTGCTCTCCCCGAGTGTGCTCAGGCTGATGTAGCACAGCCCAGTTCCCTCTTACCTTCACCGTGTTCCCAGGAATAGCTGCAGTGCCATAGGCTCTGCTCCTTCCGCTCCCTTTCCAGAGCTGGGCCTTGGGCTGGCCCGACTCCTCCCGTGTGAGGAGTCACTACTGTCCAATGAACTCTGCTGGAGGGTATGTTCTGCTGGATGGAACGAGAAACCCAGATGACTAACGTGGCTTTTCTCTCTTTCCTCCAGACATCACAAAGCCGCCACTAGCACCGAAACCAAAGATTATCGCTCATCTTTCTCCAGTAGCCATCTCCAAATTTTCTCCCTCTCTGCCAAGGGCAGATATTCTTCATAGCCCGAACTCCATGTCTAGGGGTCCCAAACCACCCATTGCTCCCAAGCCCAAATTCTCCGCTGACACTGAGCGCACATCCAGCGGTTATACCAACAATAGCTTCAGTCAGTGCTCCAATGGGAAACTGGGATGTCCTGACAGAGAGCTGTGTGAAGGCAGCCACTGCCATGTCGGCTGCCCCCAGTCTGAGGCAGCCAACGCGTACATTGCAGTTCCTGAAACTCAGCTGTGCAGTGAAGGCTGTAATGACTTGGAACGGGAGCATGACCAGAGCCCAGCTTCCTTCACAGAAAATGAGGCCCCAGAAACCCCAGACGAGGCTGAGAAGGAAGAGGATAGTACTGCTAATGAGGACAACACCAGTAATCAAGAAGTCTCCAAGGAGGAGCACCCTAACTCCTCGGATATTGCTGAGCCAGTGCAACCCGGCTCCGAAGAGTCAGCTGGAGTCTATGAGCAGCCCAATGCCCTTCGTGTGTGCCCCTCGGATGTCCCTGATGGGGACAGTGGTGCTGCCAGGAATGCAGGGGAAGGTGGGGATGTGGTAGGTGTTTGTAGTGAAACCAGAACTAAGGAGGAAACTTCTGACAACCTGGACATGGCGAAGGACGACAGTGATTGTCAGCCTGACAGTGGTGACATCTGGAGTAGAGCTGAGGAGCTGGAGGGTGGTACCTGCGCACGCAGTGTTGTCACGCCACTGCCTGCAGGAGGACCAGGCCCTGGCAGGGAGAAGGCCGTGCAGGAGGAGCAGGAGCTGCCTGAGGGTTTGGAGAAGGGGGGCAGGTGTCTTGCACACGACGGCGAGCAGTGTGCGCACGCAGAGCTGGATGCAAATGTGGAAGGGCAGTTTGAAAACAATGACTCTGCCAGCCTTGACGTGCTGCCAGCTGAGGGCAGTGAGGAAACAGCTCCTGGCTTGGAAGCACGTGAAGGTGAACACGATGCAGACGGTGGAGAGTCCAGCCCTCAAGCAGCAGCTGAAGAGGAGGAAGCAGACCCAGACGAGCACAGCAGTACAAACACGGGAGATGCCAGCCACGGCTGCCAGGTCAGTGAGGGGAAGATGTCAGAGGTAGCCTGTGAAGCAAGCAAAGACTCTGAGAACAGGGATGAGGAAGCTGTGAATGCAGGCAATATGGACAATGCTTGTCACATTGTTCCCTGGGAGAATGAATGTGGTGCAGAGACAGCCCTGGCACATTGGGGTGAGGACCCTGAAAGAGAAGGGACCTCTCTGGATGAAGCTGGTGTGGTCTTGGCCAGTGTACCAAGTGCTCCAGGGATGGAGCCAGAGATGGAAGATGTGGCTGTTGAAGAGCATGGAGAGAGTACTGTGGAAACCTCTACGTCAGATGAGCTGCAACTGGAAGTCAGTGAGGTGGAAGCAGAGAGCCTCAGCAAAAGTGTCCCACATCCCCCTCAACAGGTCCTGCTGGAAGAAGAGTTACAGGTCTGTAAGCTGGGCAACATGAACGTGGCATGTGGGGCCACACAGGTCTCGCATGAGATTGTGGCAGTCCCTCAGGTGGTCGTTGTGCCCGAAGAATCAGAGGGAAGAGAAACCAGCAGTGATTCCCTAGATGACCCTGAAAATGACGTCGCTCAGGATAGGCAGGCTGATTTCGGAGCTGATCACAGTACCAAGGAGGAGTTGGGCACGGACGGTGAAAACAGCTTGCTGCCCATTGATCGTAAAAGCATCGTCACTCGAACACGCTCACTCTCTGGGAAAATGCCGGGTTGTGTCCCAGAAACTGTTCCAGAAGAAGCTGGACCTGAAACGGACTTACCGTCTTCCCACACTGGCTCTGGGGCAGAAGAACCAAGCAGTGATTTATTCTCGGGGGAAGGAAAAGCAGTAGAAGCCGGCAGGGCATTACCAGCCAAGTCCAGACGTTTCCTCTTATACCCTCGATCTTACTCCGTTGAAGGGAGGGAGACCCCGGCCTCTGTTTGCAGAGAAAGTGATGGCTGCGGACTGGATGATGGCAGAATAAGAAGGACAGAGGACAACTTGTCTTTGCCTTGTGTCAATGGTTGCTCAGGTAGTTTTTCCCAGAGAAATCATCTTTCATCCTGTGGCTTATCTACTCCGTCCTCCGTTGTGGATATACCACCTCCTTTTGAACTTGCCTACATCACCAAAAAGCCAATCACTAAAAGTTCCCCATCACTTCTGATCGAAAATGACTCACCTGACAAGCATTCCAAGAAAAAGAAATCTTCCTTCAAGAGGTTCCTGACTCTCAAATTCAAGAAGAAAACGGAAAGTAAAGTCCATGTAGATGTCAATGTTTCCTCCTCAAGGTCCTCATCAGAGTCGAGCTACCACGGGCCTCCACGGCTGATGGAGCTGGACAGGAGGAGCCTCAGCAGCTCACCTCAACTGAAGTCACATGTGGGGAAGCTCCGTGTGTCCGAGTCTCCTTCGGCTGTTCTTTTTTATAAGGATGGCAAAAGAAAAGGAACGCTAGCAGGAGCGTGGCACGGGTGGAGTCCTTTGAGGACCGGTCCAGACCTCCATTCATGCCGCTCCCGTTAACGAAGCCTCGTTCCATCTCATTCCCCAATGCTGACACATCTGACTACGAGAACATCCCAGCTATGAGCTCTGACTACGAAAACATCCACATTCCTCCACGAAGACCTACCAGAGCAGGAACTTTTACTGAGTTTTTTGAGGACCCCAGCCGGGCGCTGTCTGCTGCTAATGAGAACGACGGCTACGTGGACATGAGCAGCTTTGCTGGCTTTGAGAACAAGCAGCCACCTGCTGACCAGGACCCAGAAAGGTACGGTAACAACTTTCTGTGTATGACCTGCTACCCCTGGCCAAAGAGGCCAGGCCCATGCGTGGTATCCTAGGCAGCCCCTCCATGGGGCTTGGTCTGTAGCTCTCTCTCAGGAAGAGTGTACGGGAGAGGCTGGAGCAACACAAGATAAGCCTTTTGCAGTGAAAACCCAGAAAGACACCCCATTAGCGCCTTCCTCTGTCAGTGTGTGCTGGCACTCCAGAGGACGCTGCTCCTGTGCTTGACAGACACAGAGCAAAGAGCATTTGAAAACACTTGGTTTAGGTGGCGGGTGTGATGTTTGTGCCCTGGGGGTCAGGGAGAGCTTGCTGTGCTCTGCAGTGGGAAGGGCTGCGGAATTCTGGGCAGAGCGACAAGAGAGCCACTTGCTGGGAGGGCTCCTGCTTCACTGTGTCAGTCCCATCGGTTTTGCCAAGCCGGGAGAGACATGATTTACCTCTCAAGGTGCGTCACTTGTGCACAGACCACAACATCCCAAATCATGAGCTAATCAGAGTGGACAGCTAATTTTCAAAGTGGCTTTACAGCTTATCATCATGGCACTTTGAAAGAGCTGCTCATTTAGGAATGAATTAAATAGCTCTGTCTGAAACCATATGCATTGTGAACATTAATAACCACCTTCCATCCCATTCCATGGGATTATTTGCAAGCCAGAAAACGGCCCTTTCCCTGTCACGCAGGAGCACTGTGCTCCAGGCCTTGGAATCGGACCGTAAAGCTCTTGTCTGACTGTACCGTGCTCTGGCAGGGGAGTGCAGAGGTGTACGCGAGGAGCATGTGCCACTGCGGTCATGTGGAGCAGGCGATGAGCAAACGAGGTGCCAAGCAGATGGATGCAAAGGCATGTCTGCAATGCAGCTGCATTTAGCTGGGGCTGTGAGAAAAAGCTAAAGCTCTGCAAAGTAAGGCCTCCATATCGTTTCCATCCACCCTTCTCCCTCTACTGATGTAATACTTCTGTGTCTTTGCCACACCGACTTTCTGTGGTCTTCTCCCCCATCTGTGAAGGGAACAAGCCGTGGGCATTTCATGCTTCCCCCTCTGGGTAGTTCAGACTAGGGAGTGAAAGACCTTTCCTTTATCACCTCTGACCGAGACAGGCAAACCATGGCCGAGACCAGAGTGGTTGCAGGGCTCTGTCTCCCCAAGAGAGGCAAGCACTGGGGTGCCAGGGGTGGGGGTGCGCGGCATAGGGAGAGAGCTGGCACAAGGGTCCTGCCGTGGATGCAGACGTGCCGGGAGCTGAGGGCTCTGGCAGCCAGGCCTGTGGGGATGCCAGCGTGGGGACACGGTGGAGCGCGGCGCAGCCCCAGAGCGGAGTTCAGTGGAGTCTGACGAGCCCCCGACACAGCGCTTTGGTGGTTCGCATCACACCCAGCATGCAGCCTGTGCTCGGGGAAGGCTGGCAGCGCTGTGTCCCTGAATCGCCGCCCATGTCAGGCAGCTCTGGGAACACCGAGTTAAAAATACGAAACCGACGTCAGCTGCTGTGACTTGGGCCCATTGATGAACTTCCCGTGGAAGCCTGTTGTTTCCAAGGGAGAGCCAATGCAAGCGCGTTCAGGAAGTCTCAAGGTCAAGGCGTGAACGGTCTCAGCCTGCTGGCTGCTGTGCCTGCAGCTTGTGCTGCAGGGTGGGGGGCAGTGAGGCTGGGCCCGGGCAAGCCCCGGTCAGGATCCCAGGGTGCGGGGAGGAGTGCCAGGCGGGCAGGCACACACCGCGCTGTCGACAGCACTCATTTGCTGTGTCTGTCAGGATGTCTGGGACACAGACATGCCTGCCAAGCTCTGATGCAATGTGACGGGTCGTACACATCCCACGGCACGATGTGCTGGGAGAAGCAGCGCGTGGTGTGACCGTAAAGTAAATCAGATCACGCATGTACACGCAACCGAACCCACTTACACATGCACACATGAGGTGTGGACAGGGATGTTTCATCTCCCACTAAGGCAGCTCTGCCTGGACTGTTTTGCGATGCATTGCAGCTTTCTAGTACAGCCAGTTGCAACACACAGCTCTCCCACAGCCACCCAGGGGTAATGGTTACTGTGAAATCCACCTGCTCGCATCCTGGGGCCTATTTCCAGCACTGAGAGCGCAAGGTGTCAGAGCAAACCCACACAGTACAGGGCCTGAGCCCACGAACCCCTCTCGGGTGCTCTCGCCTGCAGAGCGTGGTACGCAGTATCCCCTGATGCCCGGGGAATGACCAGGCGTGTGACGGAGCCAAGGACGACACTTGTCTTGCGTTTCAGAGCAGCCTGAGAGAGTGCTGTACAAGGCCACAGTGACCAGGGAAGCTCTGCTGCTGTATGTGCCTGGGGAGAAGGGCAGCGGGGGGCGCTTACAGAGAGAGACACCCGAGCAGATTCACTCTTTACTTTTCCTGCTTAACAGGAAAGACCACACGGAGGAGGTTGAGAGCAATCATTTCTATAGAAAAAGCCCAGTAACGACAGGTTCTGCACAGAGCTTCACTCAGAACTGCTGCTGCCGGAACACACTGGGAATATTGCCCCCTGAAGGGCAGTTATCGCGGGTGCCCAGAGCTGAGTTATGTCCTAGTAATAATTAAACACGGATTTGGGCTTATGGCAGTACAGATCATAATTAGCCGTTTTCATGGGAGTTAAACGAGGGCAGTTAGATTCTGAGTTCCTCACAACGCGGTGCCTAGAACTCCAGGCACAGCCAGAAATGGACATAGCTCTGCTTCCTTTCTAGAGCAGCTGAGGTAGTTTCAGCGCTGAGGCTCACACACCAACTTTGAAGCTACAGATGTGACAGCAGGGAACACTGGCTCTCTCCCGGTAAAGTCAGCAGCGCAGACTGTGCTGTAATCAGAGCCTTCTGTTCTGCACACTACAGATGCAATGCCTTTTCCATCACTGCAGAGAGAAGCAGGACCGTGCACACCAGCACCCACTGGTGTGTGCACCCCCCCGGCCTTGTGCAGCCCACGTACTACTGAGACTGTAGTGTTACAACAACCAGCTGCTCTATTCCATCACTGTCCAGCCCCATCCCGCTCCTTGACCATGGCCACGTCCTCTTCCTCTGCTTTGCCCCAGGGGCTTGTTTGACCCCGTTCAGACAGGGCAACGCCTCTTGGCTTGGCTGGTGCTGAGAAGCCCAGCCAGGCACACTAGGTCCACTGGTCCAATGGCTACGGAGGCACAGCCCCTGCTGCACAGCTCTGCTGCCAGAGCCCTGAGTGGAACACAGCCATCCAAAGAGTGCTTGGCCCTCTGGGAAGTAAGCCAGTAAACATGGAGCGAACCCCACACCCGCCTGCACACAACGTTGTATCACAGGGCCAGAAGCGAGGTTCAGTCACAGGACAAGGGCCAGCTCATGCCTTTTGTGTTCCTGGCTCAAGCCGACGCAGCTGGGCCACGGCTGCTGGCCACATCGTCACACGAGCTGCCTGGGCTGGCGGTTTCGATGCCGCATGCACTGCTGTCCACGAGCAGAGGGCCAGGCTGCGCTCCCACCTTCTCTGCTTCCCGAGCTCTCAGGCACAGCACAGAGCTCAGGGAGGGTGCCAGAACCAGTGCTGGTGTAGCCTATGTGGGAGCTTTTGTGGCAGCACTGGTGGCCTGGGATGCAGAGTGACACCTTATTGGCACGCACTGTTCCTGTACCTCTCCCCTCGCTCCCCTCTAGCCTCAGCGCCGTTCTCGGCCGGGGGCATGTGGCAGAGGAAGGCTTTCGGCCTGGTTACTGGCGGGGTCATTCTTGGGTTGCAGGAGACACACGGGCGCAGCACAGCGCAGGCCCCTTGCGGGTGCTGCTGAAGGCGCGCACACTGCGCACGTGGGCACTCCTGTACCGCCGCATCGGGAAGTGCTGCTGTGGCACAGGAAGGGTGCACTGGCTTTAGTCAGGGAAGAGGTAACTTTCTTCCCAGGGGCTGGTGGGAAGCTAAACCGTGGCAAGGGGCCAGCTCACAGCCATACCAAAGTCATTTCCACTTTGGAAACAGTGAGTACAAACCACGGTGGGTCCTACTCTTCCTAGTACCGTTACTGTAGTTCCTTGTGCTGCCCTGACTCCCCCGTGCACACGCCCAACAGCTGCTCTCGCACATGAGCGGCACTGCCATCAGTAACGCTGCAGCAAGGCCCGGAGATGGTTCCCTCGCTGGGACTCGTCACTGGGCAAGGTGTGTGTAAGTTCGCCTCTACGCAAGGCGCTGCTTGCCAGACATTTATGCAGGGCCTGAGTGTTGTTGCAGGTACAGACTCTGTGAAGCATGAGCGGTATGTCGCTGCTGCCTCTCCTAATCTAGGAAGAAAATCTGCTTTCTTGCAAGAAAGAAAACCTGGAAACTGGCACTACCTGCCTTGGATGGAGCAATTTCTCCGTTCTCTAAAAGGCTTTAGCAATATTAATTTTACGTGTCTTCCCAACACAACTCCAAGCAACTCCCAGAATGCTTCCCACCACAAAGCCAAGCCCTCTGCCTTCCACCAGTTCTGCTGTCTTTTGGCATCGGGTGCCAAGAATTCAGTTTTCTATTAATAAGTATATCACTAAAAATTCTGGCTGCAGCAAAGGACTGACGTAAGTTCGGTTTTGTGTTGGCGTGTCACTGCCATCTGCATGCTGGCAGCCTTGCTCGTGCTCTTGCCTCAGTCCTTAGTGAAGGGTTATGCTCAGCTGGACCCTGTGAAAGCACTACGATGGGCTGGATCCATTCACCACTGTGACGGTCACACTGGGCCAGTGACACGCGCTCCCACCTCCGTCCAGGCTAGATTCCTACCTAGTTACCTAGTCAACTCTCTGTCGTGCCTGTCAGGCAACAGAACCAGCCCACCAAGGCTCGGCACCTCCAGGGCAGCGCACCGCGGGGACAAGCTCCGCTGTGTTTGGCATGGCGCCATCGGCGCCACTCTGACCACGGGAGTCAGGCACACCTTTTCCTGACGTGTCTACCTGCAGTGCATTATGAACTGTGCTTCTTTGGG